TAAGTGAAGAAGATCTGAAGCACTAAGTGGAGATCCGAGGCAAGGTGTTAGTTTCCATGTATTTAATTTTCTCCTTTTTATTTTTCTGTTTTTAATTTCTAATTGTAGTGAGCTGAGAATATGCTTTGAGATATTTATTTCTTATTCATTGAGGCTTCTTTAGTGATCTAAAATACAGTCTGTTCTGGAGAATGTTCCATGTGCATTCTATTCTTGTTAGGTGGAGTATTCAGTATATATCTGTAAGATCCAGTTAGTTAATTGTATTGTTTATGTCTTCTGAATATTTGTTGAATTTCTTCCTAGTTGTTTTGTCCTTCATTGAGAGTCATATTTTAAAGTCTCCTATTTGCTGTCTGTTTGTTAAATTTTGATTTATCTTGTGACTCTGTCATTGGATACAAAATATTAGTTATGTCCTCTTGCTCAGTTGACCCTTTGATAATTATATAATGCCTTTCTTTGTCTCTTATGTTGCTTTTTGCCTTGGAGTCTATATTTTATCAGAAATTATATTACCCCTTCTGCTTTTTTGAAGTTGATGTTTACTTGATAACCTTTTTCCCACACTTTGATTTTTAGTCTGTCTTTGTCTTTGTTTCTAATGTAGTCCTATTGTAGACAACAAATTGCTGGGTCATGTTTTCTTATCCAGTCTACTACTCTTTTACTCTTGATTGGTGCATTTAATTAATTCACATTCAGTGCCATTTTCAATAGGTTTTAGTTTTGTTGGGGTTTTTTTTTTAGGTTTTGTTTTATTGCTGTTATTTTGCTGAACTCTTTTTTCAAATGTTGCTGATATCTTTGTTCTAGCTGGTTTTGTGTAGTAAGTTAATTTGGCCTATGACGTTTCTTATCATTTTTTCATTGTTCATTCCAGGACAAAGTTAAAAACAAACAAAATTCTAAAAAAATGATATAAAGTGAAGAAAATGAGAGGGGGAAAATGAAGACCCTTGTAATGGTTGAGGGTGGGGTGGCTACGGATTGTTGTGCTTCCCACTGGTTTGGTGAGTGGTAGTGAGATGTGTGTCCTGGCATAATGTGCCTGCCAGGCCAGCAAAAGGTTGAGGTTCAGTTGCCCAGTCAAGTCAGAATTTCTGCTTGTCTTGGAGGAAGGTAAGACCCCAAAATATGGACTGGGTCATGGACAGCACCTCTTTCTGTCTAGAGGGTATTGATGGGTATGGAACCCAACCTGAAATCAAGTTTCTAATGGTCTTTAGTGAACCTTTGAAAATTCATGTTTCTAGGAGTGATTTCTTTGCAAATCGAGGATGGATGGACACAGGCAGAGTTCCCAGTCAAGAGTGCTACCATGTAGAAGCAGTCACTGTCAAACTGAGTTGCTCAAGGGTAGTGCACACCATAGAGATTGCACTGTGTCAGTGTAGGTGTGGTACGTACCAAGTGAAGTACTTTCAAGGTGTCTGCAAGGGTGCCCAATCGTAGGCAAAGACCCCATTCTGAGGTGGTGTCCCTACCATTTAAGAGACTGATGGATAAAAATGTGACCAGAGGCTTACAGAAAGCTAATCTTGTTTTTCCCTGAGGTGGCATTGATTCATTATGCACTAATCCCATATTTATGCCTATTTTAAAGAACATAATTACTGTGAATAATGAGAATTCAATGTATATGCCACAGTGTTTATCCATTCATTTGTTAAAGACCATGATCATGATTGGATTTTTCTCCGCCTTTGAGTGGTTGTAAATAATGCTACTTTAAATATGCTTATATGAATTTGTTTGAGTAGTTATTCTCAATTTTTGAAGTATTTGCCTAGGTATAAAATTGTTGGATCACATGTTTTAACTTTTTTTAAAAAACACCAAAATTGTTTCTTCTGTGGCCAGATAATTTTCCATTCCTGTCAACAGTGTATAGAGGTTTTCATTTCTCTACATTCTTCCCAATACTTAATTCCTTCCTTTCTCTTCATTTCCCTTCCTTTCTTTTTTTTTCCTTTGTATCTCTTCCTACCTCCTTCCCTCTCATCTGTCAGTGTGAAAAAGCATTGCTTTTTTCTGATGTCTAATGATGTTGAAGACTCATCAACAACCTGCATTATACAAATGACACAATCTTATTTGCAGAAAGTGAAGAGGATTTGAAGCACTAACTGTAGAAGATCAGTTTGGATGAGTTAGACCTCAACATCAAGAAAACAAAATTCATGGTAGATGGATTTCATTTTACTTTGATCCACAATTAACAGCTATGGTAAAAGCAATCAAGAAATAGATGTACAGGGGAAATGAGCTGTCAAGGACCTCTTTAAAGTCCTGAAGAACAAGGATGTCAGTTTATAGATTAAGGAAAACTTCATCCAAGGCATGGTATTTTCATTTGCTTTATGTGCATCTGGAAGTTGGGCAGTGAACAAGGATAACAGAAGAAGAATAGTCCTTTGAATTATGGTGTTGGAGAAGAGTACTGAATATTCCCATAGACTGCCAGAAGAACAAACGAATTTGTCTTGGACAAAGTATAACCAGGGTGCTCCTTAAAGGCAAGGATGGGGAAGCTTCACATCACATACTTTAGTTATATTGTCAGGAGGACCAAGTCTTTGGAAAAAACATCATGCTAGAAAGATGGAAAAGCAGAGAAAGAAAGGAAGATCTTCAACAGGATGGATTGACATAATAACTGTAACATTGGACTAGGGTATTTCAGAGATTCGGATGGTGCAGGATAGGGCAAGATTCAGATCTGTTGTTCATAAGGTTGCTGTGAATCATAGTCCACTTGACAGTACTTAACAACAACAGTGATATTGAGGGGAGCTCTGGTAGTAGTGTCTGTATGGAGTTGCTCTGTGAACCCAAAGATGGCACCTCTGTGGCATTTGAATCCACCAGTGGCTCCTTGGGAGAAAGATGAACATTCTCTTCCCATTTGGTTTCCAGCTTCAGAAACCCACTGGTGCATCAGCTGTCAGTTGATTCCAATTCTGTATCATTTGAGTTTGAGTTTTGAATGATGAGGTTTTTGGTCATTTGTAGATTTTCTGTGAAGAAATATCTATGCAGTTCCAATATTTGTTAAAATTTTTTTAATTAATTTTAATGAAAGTTTGCAGAGACTTAGGGTTGCCATTCATTGTTGCACTGAAGTTCCAATATTTTTATATTATATGATTTGTCCTTTTGTTGTTCAGTTGTTGGAAGTCTTTATATATTGTATTATATAAGGATATGTATATTACAATAATTTATTCCCATTATATATATTGTCTTTTCACTGTGTTAATTAACAATATCCTTAGATGGACAAAATGTTTACTTTTTATAAAATCCAATTTAACCTTTACTTCATTTTTTGCTGATTGTTTTAGTGTCTTATGAATTCTTTCCTAAAAGTTCATGAATACGTATTTCTTTTTTTAATCATAAATCTGAGGGTTTTTTAAAAATTAATTTTTTCTTCTTCTTTTTAAAAAATTTATTATTAATTTCAATGAAAATTCACAGAGACCCTGGACCCCCATTCATCCATTGCTGCACCCCTCTCCCCTCCCAACCCTCCTCGCCAGTACACTACCCTCCCAGAGAAGTAAAAGAAAAATTCCTTTACTGTTCCATAGTCCCTCCCCCAAGGTCCACTCCACCATGCAGCCTTTGCTCTGGACTCCTGCCATGACAAAAAGACTCAGTCACATATCCCTTCCAAATAGTTTCTCCCTCATCTGTTTCAGTCAACATCATTGAACCCAACTTTCTCAGTCTCCCCCAACCCCGAGGTCAGTCAGTCCTGTTTTACAACAGTGGCACCATGCAGCATCCCTCCCCCTGTGACCGAGATACTCCAATCAGCATAATGTCCTCCAGGGTCACCCATCTTGAACAACATTGCATGAGTTCCTTGTTTTTCAATGCAGCATAATATTTCATTGTGTGAACATACCACAGCTTCTCCATGCATTCGTCCATTGATGGGCATTTAGGTTACCTCCAACTCCTTGCCATTGTGAACGAATATGGGTGTACATATATCTGCTTGGATGCCAGTTATGGTCTCTTTGGGGTATATTCCCAGTGGTGGAATTGCTGGGTCAAATGGTTTCTCCACTTGCAACCTTCTGAGAAAGTGCCATACCTCCTTCCACAGTGGTTGCACCATTTCATACTCCCACCAACCGTGAACAAGGGTTCCAGTTTCTCCACAACCTTACCAGCATTTGTTGCTTGCTGTTCCATTAAATTTTGCTATTCTGACTGGGGTGAGATGATATCTTATAGCTGGTTTGATTTGCATCTCTCTTAAAGCTAGGGATTTTGAACATTTTTTTATGTGCTTGTTAACCATCTGAATGTCTTTGGTGAAGTGTCTGTTCATATCCTGTGCCCATTTTTCTATTGGATTATTTACCTTTATATTGTTGTGGTGTATGAATACATATTTCTATGATTTCTTCTAAGAGTTTTGTGTCATACTATTGTGTCAGATTGTTTATCCACTTGTAATTCATATTTGTATACATTGTTTTATTTTACATGTAGATAGTTGTTCCAACACAATTTTTTTTAAAGACTGATCATTGAATAACTTGGTACACTTGCAAAGAAAAAAAAGAGACTTGACCTTTAGATGTAGGGGTTTATTTCTGGATTCCTACTTTAAATCTTTTGGTCAGTATGTCTGTATTTTATGTTAGTGCCTGAGAGAACACTCATTACAATAAATTTTGTAGATAAGTTTTTCTAATTTCCCTCTGTGGTTAACCTGGTTTGGGATATAAAAAGGCTTAATTATAATGCATTCACACAATAAAATTTAAGAAATTGATAGACTTTACATTGTGAAATTTAAAAACATTATGGTTACTTAATGGCAGTCTTTTTTTTTCCAGTAAGTAAACTATATTATTTGCCGAAGACATAATCTCATTAGTGCTATTTACATCACTTTTTTGAATGTTGCAGGAATGAAAGATGGCATATTTCACTTTATGTATAGTTTATGTAATTTTTTTCTGTTTTCTTTTTAGGTTAATACAATCTGTTGGAATGACACTGGAGAATATATTTTATCTGGTTCAGATGACACCAAGTTAGTGATTAGTAATCCTTACAGCAGAAAGGTAAAGTGATTTAAAAAAAAACAAAACAACCCCACAATAATTTTGTGTTAGATTAAAAAATTAAGCTAAAAATGAAATTATTAATAAATCACTAAATGGGCAATTTGCAGTAGAAACTGCCCCTTTCCTAAATGTTATTGCGTAGTTTGGAAGTTCTTACATTGAGGTCATTTACATCCTTATGAAAATGTTATATTTCACTCATCTTTAAGCCTCTAGAAAGTTATTTAAAGATTCATCATTTTATGCAAGTGAATTAATAATTATCACAAATGACAATAAATCTATAGGTATTCTTATAAAGGAATGAAAGACAACATAGTTTTTTTCCTTTGGTGTAAAGGTGACTCAGTAAATGAATTGTCTTCTTTTTCATTTTGTTATTTTACTAGCATGTTCTTAATCCAGGTGAAGTGAGGACATCTTAAATTGGATACTGTCTTTTTCATGTCAGAGCACTTTCAAGTATGACTACCCAAGCCCAGATTTATAAATATGTCGTTTAAACTTTATTTCAGTTTATCAGAATAATTGGAATTCTAAATCTTAGCAAACCTTGTTAAAACTTGAATATCATGACATTATGTATAAAATAATGTAATAAAAATTCAAGTTTAGGTCTTTTCGTTATAAACATTTAGAGCAAATATTTTGGTGTTAGGGGAAAAATACATTTCAATTAAAAAATTTAATTTAAAAATAATATTTTTCCTAGATAAAATGAGTTTCTCTTAACTAGCACTTCATTAATTTTCAGCATTTAAATATTTAGTGGAAATTTTTTTCTTTTATTTCTTCTTAAGATCAAGTATAATAATTTAGAATAAAAAATAATCTTTCATTGGCATGAGAATGTTGGTGAGGATTTGTCTCTGTCTGTGAGATGATGATGATGGTGATGGTACAGATTTGCTGTTCATAGGATCGCTATGGGTCATGGTTGACTCATAACAATATGGTTGGTAACTAACAACAGCAACAACATGCTTATACTAAATGTACATTGTTTCTTTCTAGGAAATAATAAATTATCAAAAATTATTTTCCCTTTTTGTTTCAGGTTTTAACAACAATTCGTTCAGGACACCGAGCAAATATATTTAGTGCAAAGTTCTTACCATGCACAAATGATAAGCAGATTGTATCCTGCTCGGGAGATGGAGTGATATTTTATACTAATGTTGAGCAAGATGCAGAAACTAATAGACAATGCCAATTTACGTGCCATTATGGAACTACCTATGAGGTACTGTATTATGACTATACATAATAAATATTTAAATATATTTGTACATGTTAGCATATATATGTTGTGTGTACATATGTATATATGCATACATATTCATGCATTTATGCATGAAGAAATGATAAAGACATTATATTTTCACAAACCATTTGATAAGATATATTTTGACCTATTTGTAGATAGTTTAAAAAAATCTTTTTTTCGACATTATGCTGAGTGAGGTATCTCAGTCACAAAGGGACAAATGCTATATGGTGCCACTGTTGTAGAATGAGGCTGGCATTGGGGTGGGGGTAAG